ATTTCAATATAGTATAATATTTATTTCTACAAGTCTAGAAAACCATGCCTGTTAGACAGTTCTACTACATTGTACTGCTAATTCTGGGATCCCTTCCCGGAAATTCGTGTTTTTACCTCCCGCTTGAAAATCAGGAGAGTTATAGTAATCAATATGTCCACCCGTCTGTCTGTCTGTTACGCTTTAAGGGTACCCGTCTCTTAACCGCATATCCTATTATACCACTGAATGAAATTCAATGAAACTTTCACAGAATCTGAATAACATATTGCCATTGTGCACCTTTTATTTTACTTTTTGATCCGACACATTTTTTGGCAAAACGCAACGGCAAAACATAAAAAAGAGGTACCACCAAAGCGTTACAGACGGACGGACACCCCTATCACTATATACCCTCCCACTTTTCAAGCGAGGGTAAAAAATCTAAAATCAAAGAAAATTGAAAGAGGCATATCATATAACCCCGAAATAGGGAGTAATTAATATGTTCATAAAAAAGACCCAACATTTATATCGCCGTCATTTGTTGGAATTAAAGGGGGTGTTCTGTTGATAGCTTTTTCATTGCCCCCCCCCCCCCCCAAAAAAATTCCAACTTCATAAACTATACGTTCAATTTTTAAGTACTCACCTCATTTCATCTGGATGAACAAAGTTTCGTAGACTAGCGTGTTTGGTACAATCGTTTGTAAAAAATTATATATTTCTAAAATTGTTAAACTATTTCAAACAATCAACGATGTATGATAAATTCAAAGATAGTTCAAAATGGTTTACTGGAATATTTGCAGAATTAAGTAAATAGTCCTCGATTAAGAGAATTTACAGATTTCATTTAACGTAACGTTAAAATCAGTAACGTCGTGATGACGGCGTTACGTCAAAAGTTGTAATTATTGAAGAAAATGCACCATTTTCCCAAACCTCTGACGGAAAAACGGTAAAAGATAATTCCAAAAAATAAAATGATTTTGAAAGGACACATCGTGGGCATGATTGTAAAAAATTTCAATCAGATTTAGAGACAGGGCCGCCTCGTTATGCATACCGTACCCAGTTCTTTGGCCCCGCCTCCTTACTGTAACCTTAACTGTGCTGCGCTGTGAGTTTGCAATATCAAGAACAACCATATCTGCGAAGAAATAAAACCACTGACATTGTAACCATTGTAAAAATCAAATTAAAAGGGAAAGAAAATTATGATTCGATTATATACCTTCAAAGCATAACTAATCGTCATGTAAGGGTGATGTAGGAGAGAGAGATTTAATCAGGTGACCTAACAAAGGGAAACAATTCTTTAAAACTTTTCGAAATGGCATTTTGCGAAAATTTAGAAGAATATTTACTAGATTCTCTTGCCGACGATATTGATTTGATCATGCTGTATGAAAGTGAACCTGCACTTTGGGAAGTCTCGTTGAAATTGTATTCGGATAAAAATGCACGGATACAAACTGTGGAGAGGATTGATGCGTCTCTCAAACTTGGTGGTAAGTTCAACTGTAAGTTAAAGCTGAACACTACTCGTAAATAGGCATAGTCCGCCATATTTCTCGTTCTTCAACGCTCTCCCTACAACTCGTATATAAGGAGCAGATCGCTAGTCAGTTCAATGTATTTTACTATAGAGATCCGACGAGTGCAGACGTATATCTAACAAAGCGCGTGCTACTCAAAATCGATGAAATTATCAAATTTTACGTATTTTTTCCAAAACATGACAAAAGTATTATGGAAAATACAGGTCAATACATTATTTACAAACAGAAAATGCACATAAAAACAAGAAATAAACGTAAAAAATCTAAGACCACGATAGGAGTACTACATGTCGGCCACGAGTTTCAAGTGTGCAATCGGGTGTAACGAAAGCGAACGGTTTATATACCCGTCTGACAGTGACTATTTATGAGAAGTGTTCAGCTTTAAATATAGGCCTACATGTACACGCATTAAATTTGAGAGATCAAACACATATGAACAGGGTTACTTATGTCAGCTTCAAACGTAATGACAGAATGATGTAATGTAAAATTAGATAAATGATCGATAACACTCTTTACTTATTAATATTTTTTTATTTACTAATATTAAATAAACGTAAAACATGCACCTGCTTTTGTCTTGTCAAAATAGTATGCAAATGAAATGTAAAATCGGATCGCATTGTGTGACTGCACCTTCAGCTATGAGTATGACGTCTGAACGCTCAACTATGATGTCTCCGCGTCACTAGTAAGGAAGAAGCGGGTGTTGCTAAAACGCGGAACGGAAAACGGAATATATTGTTTTGGATTAAATCACTTAAAATACAAAATTTATCATTTACACAATATATCTTGTACATATTTAATCCCCAACTATTAAATACAAATTGATTTTGTCATGCCAAGTCTCTTTTTAACGAAAATCGCTAACATAGCAGTCACCTAGAATCGAATTTGAAAATGGGGGGGGGGGATAAACGAACTTTAAAAGTAGTTGACAAGCAAAAACACGAAAAGAAACAATTGTTTGATTCGGGAGGGGGAATAAGTTCCAATTCGAACATCTTTCAGTACTATTTTTAGCCGGGCTTATTTCTGAAAGAGCAATTGCTGGCTTATGTGATCCTGTTCAAGACAGGATGTTAACCCAATAGTCGCCATTTTAAAGTTACGTGCAAAAACATAGTTCTTACTCTCAACCGCTTTTGAGATGATACAAACGCTAAATAAAGCAACAAAAATAAAACGAAGTTTTATCTATATAAAATAAACATTTGTAGTAATGACTTTGAAAACTTCATAAGTCAAAGAACATAGTTCATTAGCCTAAGGATTTTTGATAATCAGTGTAACCGTAGTTCTCTACACATACGAGGTAAAGCAGGAGAGGGAACCAGACTGGCCTGTTTGTTTACATTCAGCTGCGGTACCAGATTAATTCTGATTCTGACAAAATCGGACCGTGGTATTAGGATTGAAAAACTCACTGTCAGTGTCTTATCATTTATATTGATAGTTTTAAAAATTTTTCATCAGAATATAAACGTGATTCATGTAAGAAATCCATGCTACTCTGTAAATGAGCCCGGCTCTCTGTACTTCTGAGTACTTTGATTTTACACTAACTTACTACATTAATTACATTCACAAAAAGTGTGAGGATGTTAACTTGAATGAATATTTCCGTAGTAAAAATGTTATGACTGGGGGGATCAAATTTTTGATATCTAGATGAACCATGAAAAGAGAAATAAAATGTAAAAAAAAAAATTATTAAGATTACGTTTAGGGCAAACCTTGAAGGCAAGCTCGAATAAACATCTCTTATACACACTGGTTGTTAGAATTTTATTCAAAATAGAATCGCTTTCTATATATTTAAATTATGGATAGACAAAGTCGGAAAACTTTCATGTGGTAGATATAATGCGGAATCTTTGCATTCAATGAAGTGAAATTTTGTTTGTTTGCGGTACATATGTGTGTATGTTTGGGGGGAGGTGTATATGAATGACCCCGTAAAAATTGAGTTTGTTTTTCCGCTCATCGAGAAGTTGTAATAGATATGCCCCCCCCCCTTTTGTGTTTAAAATAAACATAAGCTTTAATAAATCAATTTTTAATGTGACTGTGGACCCCTTTACAGACCCGAAACTGCCACACCCCCTTTCATGATTCGCGAATTCGACACTGCGTGCAGAATCTGAATATCATAAGTAGTTATTTTTGTCTGTACAGACATTGACATTGGAAACCAAATGAAAGAAGGGGGGGGGGGGTGTCAGTAAAAATTAATTTTCCAACATACAACAAATTAGACAAGCCAAAAAAGGGAGATATGACCTTTCCCCAAACACGAAAATCCTATTTCGTATGTGTGTGTGTGTGTGGGGGGGGGGGGGGGGGGGGTGTCGAATTTCTTTCAGTACCATTTTTTCCACGGAGGGTGTGTATGACTCATAAATATATAATAGTTTACAATAAATTTTAATCAGAAATGATTTTTACAACTAGAATATTGCTCTTTTGTCTGATTTATATCAAATCTATGTTATTTGTTTGACAAAAATTTTCCGTTTTCCGTTCGTTCCGTTTTCCGTTCCGCGTTTTAGCAACACCCGGAAGAAGCAGGGGACAAGGCTATATTTACCCCTGGCTCCTGTCGGCTGCACGGAAATTTAAACCAGTCTTTGTAACCAATTAAAGCTCGTGTTACAAGCTGCATAGGAAATAAAAAAATATTCATGACTTTGATGTTTGTTATCAATAATGAATATTTCATCAAGTCAATGAAAATATAAAGCATCACCTCCCTATCGGCTCATTCTAACACAACCACAAATCGATCGGCCGCTGAAAATAGCACAACATTCGGACATGTGGCAGCTTTAGTGAACAATATCCAAAAAAACCATGAAAAATGGAAAATCATTTTTAGCTCACCTGAGCTGTAACCTCAAGTGAGCTTTTCTGATCACATTTTGTCCGGCGTCTCTCTGTCTGTCCACGCGTCTGTAAAATTTTTATCTTCTTCTCAAGAACTATTGGGCCAATTTCAACCATACTTGCCACAAAGTATCCTTAGGTGAAGTGGATTCAAATTTGTTCAAATGAAGGGCCACGCCCTTTTCCAAGGGGAGATAATTATGAATTAGTGAAAAATTAATGGCATTTTTAAGTTATCTTCTTCTCAAGAACCACTTGTCCAGGAGAGATGAAACTCATGTGGAACCAGGTAGTGTAGATTCAAATTTACACCAATTTAGTCCAAAGTTTTACACAGAAATATATATAGGAAAATTCTTTAAAAATCTTCTTCTCAAGAATAACAGAGCCATGAATGATCATACTTATATGGAAGCATCCTCAGATAGTATAGATTCAAGTTTGTTCATATCATGACCCCCAGGGGTTGGGCGGGGCCACAATGGCCGACCAAAGTTTTACATACAGATATATAGGAAAATTCTTAAAAAACTTCTCAAGAATAACAAAGCCATCATAGGGCGAGAAAGCGGAAGTGCGAGAGTTCGCGAAATTTGGCGTGAATTGAACCTCTGGAGATAAACAAATCCGCGCTATACATAGGCATTATAGATTTCTTGTTTTTAGTGATACAGAATGGCATTGTCCATTCTGTATTGGTTGAATTTTGTATCCGGGACTAAAAAGCTACACCAGAAGTCTGAAGTGGCTGTGAAATCTGAACACGTACTTAAATTCCTGTACGATCCTGAGCTGAGACACGTCCAGGGAAGGGTGCAAGCCAGCATGAGGGATAGAAGCTATCATATTAACGTATGTATCAAATAGTTTGATATTTGATAATAATAATATATAAGTACATAAACGACATTATTTTCAATATTTCGTGTTGCATTTAGATCACACTTGGCGATAATTACACTGTGGAAGACAGTATCTGTGACTGTGTTAATGGCCAGGATAAGTGTCACCACAAAGCTTCTCTTCTGTTATATGGGTATGCATTTTTTAATACAATAAAAAATATAAATGATTTTTTACCTTCATTTTATCACAGGTACTTGGGTCGTGGTTTATAAATATTTATAATGTACCTTATTGATATGTAAAATACTTTTTTTACATATCAATAAGGTACATTATAAATATTTATAAACCACGACCCAAGTACCTGTGCATTTTATAAATGTTATTCATCTTAATTTAGGTACAAGAATGTTAGTAAGACGGATGTAAGAGAATCTTGGATAAAACACCCAAAGAGTGGACCCCCAAAGAAAACGATGACCATGGATGAATTATTTCCTCCAACACCAAAACTAGCAAATTATAGGTATACATGAATTATGTGAATGTGAAAAAAAAACAAAAGTGATATAGAATTTTTTTTTTAAATCCCTCTGCATTCTATTCAAATAAGATTAAATTACATTACACTGACAGGGCAACATCAAGATCAGTTGATGAGAGAGATATAAATTTCTTACGGGAAAAGCTGAATGAACTTGGTCGATTTTCAGGTCTTGATTTGAAAAAAAAAAATGTTGAAACATGTTTTGTTCTTTGTTTAATTGAAAATGTTTATACATGTTTCCTTATTTTGTTATGTGACCAGACTAACAAAATATTTTCATTCAGTTTTTGTTGAAATGAAGTTGAGCACTATCAGACTTTCCTGCATATTGAAAGCAAAGTGTACGAGATATCCATTGAAAGTGTTTGCATATACTGTATATTGAGAAAATGTTAAAGTATTGTTATTTGATAGACTAATTAAGTATAACCCATTTTATTATTAAAATCAAACCATAACTACTGTATCATTTTAGATTAATAAAATATACTCATTTCAATCATTCATACATTTATAATTTATTAATTCTATTCAAATTGTTAGCCATGCAATGGATAGTTTCTGAAGAACCCCCTGCTCCCAAAGTGGATGTTCCATGCATTAAGGATCTTCTGTTAACGGAAGGTTACACAAGTGCGACCAATAAAGTGCAGTGGCTTAAAACAAACCTCTGTGTATCGAAGCAGCAGACAGAACAAGTAGGACATTTATATAAGTATACTCTAGAATCATTATGAATTATAAATACTTTGAATCAGTCCCTACCCATTCTTTATTATTTGGGGGGGTGTACTTTGATTTTATTCCTTTCTTTTAGTCTCTGTTGAAAATACGGATTGGCCAGATCACCTGGTCATTATTTTAAATGTAAAATAAATCACTTCCTTAAGATATTTTAAGATTGAAACAGTAATGAATATGTCTAGATGTCAAGTGTATAATGCACACATCAGTAAATACAAACCCATTTTGAAAAATGTGGGTCAGAGTATACAAATCAATTTTTTAATAATGATGGCACAACACTCATATTTCAACTGATTAACTTTCAAGAGATGGTATTACGTTTTGTAAATATTGTACTTGACATGTCTTCAAAAAGAAAAAAAAATGTATGTGACATTAAAAATAAATATTAAATTGAAAATTATGAATATCATCCATATATCATTTTTACACAAAATATTTTTTAAACTATATTAATACACGTAGTACCAACTATATTATTTTGCAGGTGGCACAAATGACATGTGGTCAACGAACAAATTATCTTTGGGCTTTGGTTAAAAAAAATCGATTAACGGCATCAAATTTTGGTGTGGTACTATCGGCAATAAGAAGGCAGAGGTAGTACTTTTTTTCTCGTCCAAAAGTAAAGTTAACATATCTTATACAGGTATATTACCTTGTTCAAGTTAAGTATATAATTTACTTTCAACTGAGGAACTATTGATATATTTTTCAGATTCCCACCATCATTATATAAGCAAATCTTTTCCTCATACAATCTCTCGACAAAGGATGCCATATTATGGGGGATCAGTAATGAGTCAACTGCTAGGACAAAAATACTGTTCATTTGGAGATGCTATTGTAGAAGAAACTGGTAAGTGCATGTGCTTATGTGTAATTTATAATATAGCCCACAGGTTTCAAACATCTTAAAGGACAAGAATTAATTTAAACAATTTTAAATATTGGAATTGAACGTGAAAAACACCAAACATATTTATTACAGGTGTATGGCTGCATGAGAGTGGCATATTGGGAGCCAGCCCTGATTGAATTATTCGACGTGCAGCGACACACAATTACAACTACCAGGATGTAGAATTAACAGACCTACTCGAGTGCATGGCTGTTAAACCAGAAGTTTTGGAGGTGAAGTGCCCATTTAGTGCAAGGAATATGTCAATTCCCGAGGCCATAGAATCTGTCAAAGACTTTTGCTTGGGTAGGTTTTAGTTTTAAGGTACAATTTCCGCAAAATCTGAAATCTTGATTAAGGAATGGTACATATTTAATACAAAGTTTATTATTTCATGTCTCAGATTACCAAATATATGAAGGAAGGAAGTTCTACAAATTAAAGGAGGGCCACAGATATTACGATCAGGTGCAAGGACAGCTGCACATACTTAACAGGTCATCATGTGACTTTGTAGTGTGGACTACGGAAGACATAGCTATTGTGAGAATTCTTCAGGACAGCACCTGGACCCCAAATATGTCAAAACTCATCGATTTTTACTTTTGTAAAATAATCCCAAATATTGTTCAGGACTGACATTTGGTTAGTATGACATCATATAGGCAATTTTGTATATTTGTACTGATATACGGTAGGTTTTTTATGAGTGACTTAAATTGAAGTTTTTGATTAGTGATTACCAGTAATCCCAATTTATACACATACAAATATGTTATATGTTTATGTAATAATACAGTGAGTTGTAGGGCAATGTCAGACTTGTATACCTGCTACATTGAATATTTTGGGACTTGACTTGAACCGCTTGTTTTCAGTAATCATGAGGCACTATTTATAAGGAATCTTATTGTTATACATATGTACTCGGGGTAAAGCTGGAAATCAACAACAGAAGTTATACTTTGTTTTCTGAATTATTTCTGAAAGTTTTCTCATCATTACACATAATCATGAATAATTATTTCTTGAGTTTTATATTGTATTGATTGATTTTTGCTTGTAGTGTATTTCAGGTTGTTCCTATTATTTCTTACCACTTAAAAATACACAATATAATTTTTTAATACAGTGAAAGATTTCTTTCAGAACTGTAGAAGAAATAAGTTAAGTATTCTGTTCAAATGTCTTTTTAAATATATATATATCATAAACTGTGTAATAAATTTTTGACTGTATATGCTTTTTTTTTTATCTAGTCGAATACATGTAAGGCCATGCAAAGTTAATTACTTGGTTCTCAGGCCTTTTTTCAAGAAATATGATGAGGGAGGGAGGCATTTTTTTTTTCTTTTTTATTGCCCCCAAAACATGACGAGGCAGCTTTTTACATTGTACAAATCCTCAAAAAATGATGAGGGAGGTGATTTGGTGTTTATATTTTATTGATTTAGCATTAGAAAGGGTCAATGAGGCACCCTTGGAAGAGATGAGGGAGGGCCTGAGAACCAAGAAATTGATTTTTTTTTTGCCTAATATGCAAGTAAACGAGACGAAGTGATGAAAAAATACATGTAAATTTTATGTACAATATGGAACTACATTTTTTGGTATTTCACATATTCCATGTAAATATTGGACATCATTTTGTCAAAGAATTATTTCATAACAATTGTACTGTTCCATTATCCAAAGAGACTAATGACTCAATGTATTAAAAAAAATGGATAAAGAATAGAAATTTACTATAACATATGTAAAATTTGCTAGCTTTCATGATATTATAGAATTTAAAATATACATGCTTTTTTGCAAAAAATAATGATAAATGGAGTATTTTCAAAGAATCTTTGTAAAGGTCAATGACAACATACTATTTACCTTAAAATGCTCTTTTCAAAGTTGTTTACAAGATTTATGATACATATAATACAACCTTTATTTTCCTGGCACTTATACATAGCACTCTACTTGAAGCAAGGTTGGGTTTGTCAAAACTTTGTTACACTTACATTTACAATATCAATTTAGGGTATGAATATCATAAAAGAAATATATGTTAAAGCTGAACACAATTACAAATACTTGGAACCTCTCATGAAACAAATTACATTTGCTCCACCTCTACATTCTTATATCATATATTAATGAGTGTCTAAATCTTGAGCCTGAATGTAATTATCTGCAATCTCTGCAATCATTGGATCTTGAAAACTGACTAGTATAGAACATACTTGAAAAATTTTCGTGCTTAAATGTCTAAACTTGTGAGGAATGTGAGATAATATCTCAAAGTTCTTAATTCTTTCATTTACCCGCTCTACATGGATACGAGATCTGGCAATTTTTCTGCACAGTTGCACTTCGGCAGGAGTGTATTGTCCTTTGTCTTTCAAGAAAGGAGGGATGTTGAGATGCACACCTGCTGGAAGGAGAGAGTGAATAGTAAAACCTTTATCAGCCAAAATCATATCCCCTGGTTTCAACTGGCAGAGCATTTTACTGTGTTCAACAATGGCCACATCAGATGTACTTCCTGGGTAAAGTTTGCTTACATATACCACAGCTCCGTCAGGGGCAACGCCTGTAACAGATTTTACGGTGTGCCTGTTTTTATATGAGCTATAAGTTTGAGACTGTGCTAACATATCCTGCCCTGGAACGTCTTGGGTCACCTCTGTCGCATCGATCACAAGACGGCAACAATTAAAATCACCAAAACTTGTCGGCATAGAGGACTTGCACTTTAAGAGGGAGGGAATGTTATTTTCAATCATGCCCTCAAAGAACACCTCATGCAAAGCAAAAATATGTGTAACCACAATATTTTGCACTGTTGTCTTACTTGTGTTGAACCTCTCAGCTAAATCTAAATTGGGAGAGTTTAGCTTCAATTTCATCAGTGTCATTAATAACTGGTCAGTTCTTGAAATCACTGCTGGTGTCCAGTTGTTGACATATGTTAATGGAATCTCTGAATAGTTGAGTCCACTACTCTAAACATGTCTGCTTTCAAGGAGGTGTACATCAGCATCTAATAAAATATGAATTTATGGAATGTAGTTGTTCTAGTTTGTTATAAAGGTAAAATAATTTCTCATACTGTATATAATTGCATAGAAAACGGTTGTATTTTTTAAGGTTGAATTATTTAGAGGGATTGACCTGCAAAAATCATTTTTTTTTTTATAACTCACGTATAACATGGTATAAGTTGGATGAAGAGTTTTGGACCAAAGTTTAACTCCTAAAAATCAATCTACTTATAGGTGAGTTTATACAGTATATGCGATTTGAACAAGGACTTATTGTTGTTTAACGTCGCTCTCATGAATTTTTCACTTATATGGAGATGCCTTCACTTGCCAGTGCATGGCTACAAATTCTGACTATACTCGGCACTTATATGGCCTTTGAGCAGTGAGGGATGTTTTTCATGCCAGCACTTACTGGGACCTCTGTCTTTACAGTCTCATCTGAAGGACTGGTCTCCATCCCGCAATGGGATTTGAACCCGGGAGGTAAGGATCAACTCCTTATTTCACAATGCTCTAACCACTTCACAGAGGGAGCTACATTGGAACAAATAATGTATCAGTCAGTAAAAAAATGGATACCTTCTTTTCATCATTGATGATCTGGCTTATGGTGAAAGGTTGTTTCCTAGTCTTAAGAATAGCTATTTCTGATGTCAGCTTGTCAATTTGTTGTTCCATTTCCTTCAAAAACCATATACCGGTAAGTGTGTAAGGCCATATAAAATTAATCTTTAGATTCTCATCCCCGCCCGCCCCTCTCAAAATGTCCCGCCCCGATGTTTTTTATTTTGATTTTTGGGTATTTTCATGTATTTTTATTCAGTAAGAATTTGGGTCAAAGTTTAAGAGTTATCTCCCGTCTGTATTAAAAGTCGCGTGTCGTTATTTATAGCAAAAACACCATGTGAAGAATGGAGAAAAATCGGCAATATAAAAGCAGTTTAAATGTGTAAGGAAAAGATAATTTGTCAGTATAGAGAAGGCAGAGAAGAAAAAATAGCATAAACACATATAGATACCATCACTGGCAGGAGCAAGTATGTAGAGAGATTGTAACTAAGTAAAAATAGACGAGGAAAATCAAGTTATATATAACGATCTCCAGCTGTGTGACTTAGCTTTGAAATAAAAAAAAAATCTACAACATTGTACACAGACTTAAGAGAAGGCCTAGATTTTTCAGTAGAATAATTATTAGAACATTTACATAGATTTTGCAAAATAAGAAGTCCCGCATACACAATTTATTGGTATCCCCACCTCATTCTGTTCAGGTGTGCCGTATAATGTGTACTTGATAATTTGTTAATTAACAATAAATATTTAAGTTTTAAAGCAAAGATTTTCTTTAAATATTTAAAAGAATATGGAAAGAATTAAATCTATTCATATTTGCATTAAGGTAATGAAAAAAATGTGTACGGGGCGTCCATTGTTTTGTTGATACTTAGGCCTATATATAAATTAACAATTATAAAAAATAAACTAGATGAGATCTCGTTGCGAGCAACGAGTGGGTCTTCCGTCCAATTCTTGATGAGATGAGATAAGATTTTGATTGCGATTTTCATTCTAAAATAATGATTTACCACAATCTGTAAAAAGACATTGAACATTAAAGACTTTTAAAAATCGGCTTTTTGCCCCTAACGGCCACTAATTTTAGGAATCAGCCCTCTTTATTCATATCATCTTAAAGCTCTTAAGATTTTGAAGATTTTTTGTTCAACAACTATACAGAAATTATTTTTCGTTTTTAAGATATTAGCAAAAGAAATATTTAAGGGGCAACCCTTCAACACCCTAATGAGGACGCTAAGTAAAAAATGAAAGGTTGCATATTGTTCAGAACATTATTTTGAACATCTTTTGTTCAATATTGCTTATCAAAATATTTCTCCCTTTCAAGATATCATCAAAGCATCAAAGATTTAGCATTCTGGCCCCTTATGGCCCTTAATTATGTACCATACGACATAAAAATCATAATATTTAGATGTAGATGGTTGAGATGAACATCTTTGCTTCAGTAATGTATTACAAAATATTAACTGATAAAGAGTTATCGATGGAAGACTTTTGGCCCCTCTTGGCCCCTAATTTGAGTGCCCAGCCCCTTTTTCAGGATCTCATCTTAAAGCTCTTAAGATTTTGAACATTTTGTGTTCAACAACTGTTTAGAAATTCCTTTTCGTTTTTGAGCTATTAGCAAAAGAAATATTTAGGGGCCAACCCTTCAACTCCTTAATGGGGCCGTTTAGCAAAAAATGAAAGGTAGCATATTGTTCAGAACATTATTTTGAACATCTTTTGTTCAATATTGCTTATCAAAATATTTCTCCATTTCGAGATATAAAGCATCAAAGATTTAGCATTCTGGCCCCTTGTGGCCCCTAATTATGTACCATACGACATAAAAATCATAATATTTAGATGTAGATGGTTGAGATGAACATCTTTGCTTCAGTAATGTATTACAAAATATTAACTGATAAAGAGTTATCGATTGAAGGCTTTTGGCCCCTTTTGACCCCTAATTTGAGTGCCCAGCCCCTTTTTCAGGATCTCATCTTAAAGCTCTTAAGATTTTGAACATTTTGTGTTCAACAACTGTTTAAAAATTCCTTTTCGTTTTTGAGCTATTAGCAAAAGAAATATTTAGGGGCCAACCCTTCAACTCCTTAATGGGGCCGTTTAGCAAAAAATGAAAGGTAGCATATTGTTCAGAACATTATTTTGAACATCTTTTGTTCAATATTGTTTATCAAAATATTTCTCCATTTCGAGATATAAAGCATCAAAGATTTAGCATTCTGGCCCCTTGTGGTCCCTAATTATGTACCATACGACATAAAAATCATAATATTTAAATGTAGATGGTTGAAATGAACATCTTTGCTTCAGTAATGTATTACAAAATATTAACTGATAAAGAGTTATCGATTGAAGACTTTTGGCCCCTCTTGGTCCCTAATTTGAGTGCCCAGCCCCTTTTTCAGGATCTCATCTTAAAGCTCTTAAGATTTTGAACATTTTGTGTTCAACAACTGTTTAGAAATTCCTTTTCGTTTTTGAGCTATTAGCAAAAGAAATATTTAGGGGCCAACCCTTCAACTCCTTAATGGGGCCGTTTAGCAAAAAATGAAAGGTAGCATATTGTTCAGAACATTATTTTGAACATCTTTTGTTCAATATTGCTTATCAAAATATTTCTCCATTTCGAGATATAAAGCATCAAAGATTTAGCATTCATTCTGGCCCCTTGTGGCCCCTAATTATGTACCATACGACATAAAAATCATAATATTTAGATGTAGATGGTTGAGATGAACATCTTTGCTTCAGTAATGTATTACAAAATATTAACTGATAAAGAGTTATCGATTGAAGGATTTTGGCCCCTTTTGACCCCTAATTTGAGTGCCCAGCCCCTTTTTTCAGGATCTCATCTTAAAGCTCTTAAGATTTTGAACATTTTGTGTTCAACAACTGTTTAAAAATTCCTTTTCGTTTTTGAGCTATTAGCAAAAGAAATATTTAGGGGCCAACCCTTCAACTCCTTAATGGGGCCGTTTAGCAAAAAATGAAAGGTAGCATATTGTTCAGAACATTATTTTGAACATCTTTTGTTCAATATTGCTTATCAAAATATTTCTCCGTTTTGAGATATAAAGCATCAAAGATTTAGCATTCTGGCCCCTTGTGGCCCCTAATTATGTACCATATGATATTCAAATCATTATATAAAGTTGTAGATGGTTGAGATAAACATTTTTGCTTCAGTAATGTATAACAAAATATTGACTTTAAAAGAGTTATTGAATAAAAACTGTTGGCCCCTTTCAGCCCTTAATTTGATGAGTCAGCACATTTTTCTTGATATCATATTAAAGATCTTGATATTTTACACAAATGTTGTTCAGTATGTTTTAACAAAATATTTATACTTTAAAAGATATGATACAAAATGTCTCAAAAAACCACTCATAAAACGTGTCCTAAATTTTGACCCCTACCGAGCTTCCATACTAGGCACTTCCGGAAAATATCCTGACCATGTTGCAACGTGGCAACATGTCCTCTATCATCACTAAAAATTTCAGCTTTCTAGCTTGAGCCGTTTTTGAGTTCCATCACAGACAAGGAGGTCCTCCAAATTTTGATCAAAGGGCGATAACTTCCGACCGGAAGTGAATTTCGAAAAAATAATTTGCCGGAATTAACTTCAGATGACAACGCATCGACTGTGAAAATTTGAAGCAAATCGAACGAGCCATCTCCGAGAAATCTTCTGCACAAATTTTGTAAGAAGAAAAAAGAATAAAAATAATAATAATAATAATAATAATAATAATAAAGGTAAAAAAGAAACCGAAGAATAATAGAAGGGTCTTCCGCTGAAGACGGAAGACCCTAATAAAAGTGAAAAAGAAACAATACAATAATAGAAGGGTCTTCTGTTGGAGACGGAAGACCCTAATGGTAAAAAAGAAACCGAAGAATAATAGAAGGGTCTTCCGCTGAAGACGGAAGACCCTAATAAAAGTGAAAAAGAAACAATAGAATAAGTCCTTCAACTCCTTAATGGGCACATTTAGCGAAAAATGAAAGGTTGTTGCATATTGTTTAGAACATTATTTTGAACATCTTTTGTTCAATATTACTTATTAAAATATTTCCGACTTTTGAGATATAAAGCGTCAAAGATTACGCATTCTGGCCCCTTGTGGTCCCTTATTATGTTAGATAAGACATTCAAATTATAATATATAGTTGTAGATTGTTGAGATAAACATTTTTGCTTCAGTAATGTATAACAAAATATTGACTGCTAAAGAGTTATCGATTGAAGACTTTTGGCCCCTCTCGGC